AGCCGCTGTTGAAACTGATCAGTTTCAGCAGCGGCTGAATCTGGACGCCAGTTCCGACTTACATACAGATTCAACTTAAGAACAAACCTACAGTCCCTATCTTGTACGTAACCCGGGGACTGCCTGTACCAAGTATTATTAGCCCTCTGACCTCTTAGATTCCTTGAATGTGTCTTTTAGATTTAGATAGAAAAGCAAAAAATGCCTCATTTCCCAACATCCATCACAAACCAGATAACTCTCCAGAGGAATTCAGGTCTCTATTCGACCGGTCTTTGATCTTTTTCTAATTAGTGAATAACTTTGTTTTATAAGATGTTTCAAAAAAGAAAGAAACCATATACACAGTGGACTGTGTGTTCAGACACTCATCTCTCAGGTATGCAAGGGTTAATGGTCAGAGCCAGTGAATCGCTGCTAATGAACCTTCAGGAAATCTGTCAGGAAGTGGGTACAAATTCCTGAATGCTGATGCCACTATTGTGTGGTGTGTTCTGTTTTTGATGTTGCCCAACCGATAATCTTTAGAGGACAAATACTTGAGCTACTCAACTGTTCTTCAGAGATACCTAAGGCCTAAAATATGTGCTTCCCTTTTTCAGTTGCCATGGGGAATAAGGAGCTTCTCTCTTTGCCAACCTTTCAAGGAGCACCCACAAAAGCAGAACAGAAAAGGCATCCCTGCTACCTCTGGGGAATAGGTATCTGAAAAGGAGACAGGAAGAAGGCCTGGCCATTGCTCCTCTCTCCTCTGCCAGCCCACGGAGGACAGAGGGAGACGGGGGCAAATTTCTCACTGTGCGTGCACACAGAGCAGCCGCCAGAAAGTCTCTGAGGCTCAGTGGATGGGATACACAAAGGTGCTTACGTGCCTAACTCCCACTCATTTCAGTGGCTTTGTGACTTCATCCAGTCTCTCTGGTGCTTCTCCTGGGCCTGTGTGGCTTTGCTGTGTCCTGTGGTATAAGATTCCAATTCTGGCTGCAAGTGGGGGCTTATGGCTGGCATTCAGAATTTGTGTTAAGTTTTAATTGACAAAACTTCCCAGTTCTGTTGGAATGACATTTTGATGGTCCATGAAATACTTGTTGTCAGAGCTATTCCCAAGTCTGGCACTCCAAGTGCAGAAGGTGGGGGCCCACAAGAGAAACCTTAAAAATACCTTGCCTCTATAGGCTTCTGCTTAAAAGCTTCCCAAGGTCACAGATTCCCATGACAGTGCAAGAAATGCTAATGAGCACTTCATTTGCATTGCCTCTGCCGACAAATTCCTGCATTGTAGATGTAGTGGCTAGCACAGTTCAAAGTGCCCAACTGCCCCGACATGGGGGGAGGATAGGCACGGGTGTGTGAGCAGTTCTAAAGGAGTCTGAATACATGTAATCTATATGGTGAAGAGCTGGAAATAGGTATAAATTAAAGTGTGTATGTGTGTGATTATTGGACCTTATGCCATTTCATACTCTTTTGCTAATTGCTTTTTTCTGATATCACACCCTCCTCCCATGACAAAAATGTCCTTTGGACTCATTTATCCTCTCATACACCTCAGCTTTAATTTGACCCAGGTTTTCCATAAGTCCAGCCCTGGACAAAGTAGTCATGTTACCTACTGTTTTTACTGCAGTGTAGGTGCCATCTATGCTTCAGTGTAGTTATTTGTACCCCATATACCACTGCTAGTGTACTGAGGCACAATTCTTTCCTTAGAGTAGTATGCCTAAGCACTGCCATGGCTTTAGTCAGTGCACAAACACAATCTAACCATAATACTTCACTTTTTTTTACAAAATATTTTTCTGTACACTCCTGATCAGTAGTATTCATAATTCAAACTACTCTTATCTAATACATGTGCTAAATCCATTGTGTGATGCATTTTTCCATTTACTCTTCTACTACATGCCTTGGTTTAGTCACTAGTTCAGTAATATGTGGGTCAGTTTTGACCAAAGCTCCCTCTATTTTTTTTTCATCCATGTGCAGAATAAATTTTGTTGTGTACACCCAAGTATGGGAGGATGTGCATCACTAGTAGAAACACATGCTGCCAGCTGTGGGCACTCTGCTAATCAGCTGGGCAGCATTTGAATCTCTCCTGCATGGCTGCCCAAGCGATCAGCTTACAGGGAATGGACTGGTCCTAATTATGTGTTGCTTGCCCATTCCTTTCAGGATTTGCTAGCTTGCTTTCACCGTGGTTTGAATCGAATCAGTGTGATCAACCTGAAAAGCACATGAATTGTGACTTTAGCAAAATTGCCTGAGCAGCATTTTTAAGTTTTACTGGGGCTTCTTGTGCCAAAATCATGGGCGTTTTTTTTTTTTGTATTTTTTTTTTTTTTTGTCTTTTATTCAGTAACAGTGAGTTTTCCCTAAGAGGAAGTGGCTCTCTGGAAAAAGAGGTGGAAATGAGTATCATTGGTGCAGTACTGTGAATTCTGCTACTACCCTTTTGGCAAAAAATATTTTTGGTAAAAGAGTAAAAATCATGTTACTGTGCAAATGAAATTTATCCCATTATGCCAAGTATGACTGATTGAAAAGTGCTGTGGCACTATATAGTTCCGCCTACTAACAAAGCACTTTCTTTAATAAAACTTCCCAGGCCATTGTGTCAAAATAGTGATGCTAGTCCTGTGAACTGCATTAATCAGGGTTTTAAAATGCTAAAGTATAAAATGAACAGACTGAAGTTTCATAGATGCAAAATCTTGAACAGTTTTGGGCAACAGTAACCAAAAAATGCTCCTTGTACAGACACAAAAGAAAGGCAACAAGCACTGCAAGCATTGTAATAGAGACTATAGAAACAGATTACAAATAAAAACAGTTTAAAGCCATAGAACTAACAGTCAAAACCATAACGTTTAGTTAACCTTAACATCTGCCATACTAGATTAGACCAATAATCCATCTAGTCTAGTATTTTATCTTCCAGTGACCAGTACTGATGCTTCAAAAATGGTTTAAGAAATCCTGACGGTACAACTGTGAAATATGCTAGCTATAGGAGAGGTGTTGAGGGGGGTTAATTTACTAATGTTTGCAAAGCACTTTGAGACTCTTAGGAGGAGCGCACTACAGGAGTGCAAAGTATTACTGTTCTACAATAAAATCCATTGTCTAATTTTTATGAGAAGAATTATCTTTATACAAAGAGGTCTGTGCAGAATACATTGTATATTTGGTTTTAGTAGACTCTGAACCATGTGAACATAAATAAACTAACATTTGCTAACATTAGAACTTCAGAGTTACAAACATCTTGGGATGGATGTTGTTTGTAAACCTGAACAAAACACTATAAGAACATAAGAATGGCCATACTGGGTCAGACCAAAGGTCCATCCAGCCCAGTATCCTGTCTGCTGACAGTGGCCAATGCCAGGTGTCCCAGAGGGAGTGAATTGAACAGGTAATGCTCAAGCGATCTCTCTCCTGCCATCCATCTCCACCCTCTGACAAACAGAGGCTACGGGCACCATTCCTTACCCATACTGGCTAATAGCCATTTATGGACTTAATCTCCATGAATTTATCTAGTTCTCTTTTAAACCCTGTTATAGTCCTAGCCTTCACAACCTCCTCAGGCAAGGAGTTCCACAGATTGACTATGCGCTGTGTGAAGAAGAACTTCCTTTTATTTGTTTTAAACCTGCTGCCCATTAGTTTCATTTGATGGCCCCTACTTCTTACATTATGGGAACAAGTAATTATCGTCTCCAGCCTGTAACAATGCTTGGGATTCTTCCCAAGACTTTTGTCATAGCATTATACAGGCAAACCTTCCTAGTACAAGCACAGCATACACTGATGAGAGTTATTTTGCCTGTATAAGCAATGTTAGTTCCCTGAAGTAGCTATTTTAGAAAAAAAGACTTTCGCCATAACTGTTGTGCCTTAGCATTGGTTAAGGGTGTGAGGTTTGTAATGACTCTTTATACCAGCAAAAGCCTGTTATATTAGCAAAAGTTTAAGGATAGATAAGGCCTTAGAAATCAAGCCAAGTCTGGGAGGAGAGGGAACCATTGCACAATGTTTTTAATAAGTTAAAACTTTCAGTTAGCTGGTGATGCAATGGTGTTGTGGTTTAGAACAGTGTGGGGATCTGAATCGACACAAACAAGTTGTTAATAAAAGCACTCAATGAGTAAATGCATTCCATCCTCTGCTGTTCCCAGCAAACCAGGGCAGCTTCCAGGAAGATGAGCGGAGCATGTAAGAAGCCCCCACAGGAAATGCACCATGGCATTTGGCTAGTGGGAGGCTCAAAGGGATATTGAGATTTGGTGGGTCAGTATCTCTCTTATAGCAGCCTTTGCTTCCATGAGTGGATAGGCTACAGGAGTCTGTGTTAGGAAGACACTCCTCTGCTTTCAGGCCCCTGTGATGTTCTCCTCTGCATTCCTTTCTACACAGGCTTGGGCCAAAATTTGTCTCTAGAGATTAAAGCAAAGGATGCAATTGATGTAAAGGATAGCGCTTCAGGCTATATCTACACTGCGTTTGTTTTTCGGAAGAGGCTTTTCCAACATTTGACCTGTCTACACTGGGCCAAATGTGGGAAAACCTCCTCTTTCCGAAGAGCCCTTATTCCTCATAAAATTATGAATTTTGGGGCTTCCAAAATAGAGCGCTCACTTTTTCAGAAACTGTTCCAAAAAAGTGGACACATTACCTGGACATGGCTGAATTTTTCCAGGATCTCTCTGGTATCCCAGAAAAAAACTCTGTAGTGTAGACAGAGCCTCAGTTACGGGCCTCTCACAGTTAAAGACAGCTGGTTGCTGCATCATTCTGCAAGTAGGAATTTACAGAATCAGATTAATTTCTTCACTTTCACTCTCTCCCCCTCCCCCACCATTTTAACAGAAAACAGAAGTTAAATGAGGAGGGAAAATGGCATTCATGCAACATTCAGGTTGAGAAATCAAAATCAGACACTCCAATGACAGGAAGTTGCAAAGCACAGTAACTCAGTACCATTGCACTGATGTGCCTGTTTTCTCTTCTGAAATGTAAGCTACAATATACTGCATACCCTAATATGTCATGTGGTTCTGTTTTGGAGTTTCATAGAAATTGGAAATGGAGACATCCAATTCAGCTCCTGGCACTAGCAATCATAGTTACATTAAAAGACAGACTTTTGCTTTTCAGGTAAATTAAGCTGAACTATGTTCTTGTGTAGGAATACATCTAACCTTGTGTACTTTTATTTTAGGGGGCTGGTGATAGTTTTGTAGGAGCACTGGCTTTCTTCATGGCTTGCTATCCCACTCTATCCGTGGAAGAAGTGATCAAGAAGTCAAACTTCATTGCATCAGTGAGCGTCCAGGCATCAGGGACACAATCTTCCTATCCCTATAAGAAGGACCTGCCACAAGATCTTTTCTAACGCATGCTGTCAGACCCCTATATGTATTATTGATTGCACCATATCCCAGGCAAGGCAGTTCTGATTGTGCAGAGTCAAACTTTTTTCCTAAAAAATTCCAGGTACTCAGCTAATAAAGGGAGAGCAGGAAAGTCTTTACTCCCTTTTCAATCACTGACTGAATTCTTGTTAGACTCTGGTCTACAGTTGAACAGTAGGGTTGCACACTTTCATTCCAGTGAAATATTGTGGATCTGTCCCTTAGTCAACACACTATGCACAACAACCATTACTCTAATGGCAATGCAAAATTTAATTGTTGATACCTTCAACATTTCATTTCACAAATTAGAGAAATGTTCCACAATAGTAGGGACAACTGATGAGCTCTGGAATTAAGTGGCCTTCATAGCTGTGCTCTCCACTAATCAAGATTCCTATTTGCTTAAGTTTCAAATCTGCCAGACAGGGACACAGCCATTGAAACATGCTCAAACTCCTATTGTCCTTTCTCTCTGCGGTAAGTGCCTTAGCCTAAAGTGTAACTCATTGACTGTCTGGAGAGCACATACCAGCATGCAAAGTTTCATCTCTTCCATAGTCACTCAGATCACAATGAAGCACTATATATATTAGGTCCTGCACATTCTGCTGCTTACATTTCTCAATTGCATGAAGGCTGCAGTGGTATCCATACTGTGTCCATTCAGTAAGATTCTGTGGTTCTGGCCAACCTGTTGAAAAAACCCTCAGGTGAGCTAGATTTATGTATCAATTCATTAGCTGTTTGCTGTTCCAGGGAAAAATTTACAAATTTGCAAAGGTGTCTAATCAGCCTTATTTGGCCAGAAACACAAACTATTTAAAGATCAAAATGAACTGCCCCATTGCATTAGTCAAAAAGCTGATTTAGACATGTGCCCTCTGTTTACTTGGCATAAATTCAGAAGTGAAAAGTAAGTCCTATATGAAGCTATTTCATATGGGTCAAATCCTGATCTCATTGGAGTTTTGCTATTGGCTTCAAAGGCAGCAGCCTTTAGTTCTACTGGATGCTGCAGAAATTACTTGTATTCTTTCTACCTACCTCACCCATAAGCTCTGAAACCCAGGTGCTCCTACTCTTCTATCTATCGATGGTGGTTTCAAATGTTGCTAGCAACCCTTCCATTGAAAACCCTGCTTGTAGAAAACGCCAATTTGTTTTCTTTGACATGTCAAACAAGTCATTTTGACAATTACAGCCAGTTTCATAATAGAAAACAGACAATGGGGGATCTGTTATTTTAATGTTTTTTTTAATTGGGGACTGTAAGAATAAATCAAAGGATAAATAAATGTTGATGCGATGATCTATGTCCAGACACTAAGAATTTTCTCTCTGTACATTGTTCTCATTCACCATGGCCTTCAAATCACAGGAGGCATTGATAGAGTCCATTTCCTCTGTTTTTAGCTCACACTGCAGAGTTTCAGAAGCAGCATTCCCCTCTCAAGAGTCCAACTCATGTATAAATCAAGTCCATATACAAGTTGTCGTTCAGATGGATCGCAGTTTTTTCTTCTCTATGAAGAGAACACGTTTGTTCACTGTGGAGAAAAAAGCAACTTGGTAAGAAAGCTCAAGTGCTAGGATTTACGAGAAAAAAAATTCAAACTTCCACCTCCTGCTGGCCTCAATGCTTAAACAAATATTGAATGAATGAGTACTGGCACAGTGCCATTGCTGCCAACATGCTTTTTAGCACTGCATCCATTTTACAACATGTAATAGTTAGTACACAGGTGTTTATGTTACCCCACAAAGGACAAACATTAGGATTTAAGTGACTGTGCAAATGGAATCTTTTTACTCAACTGCTGCTCACCATGTCTATTCTGTGTCACACTCTAATCTGCATAAGGACAAGTTTTTTTTATGGCTTTTCTACTTGTCTGTGCTTAGCCAAGTCTAGATAGCTATGGCAGAGTTAGATGGATTCTAATCTGCTTTTCATATTACCAACAGAATCCTTCAAGGACCAACTGAAGAATCTTTATTACAAGTCATAAGTAAACTACAAACTGAGTTAGACTGTTAAGTAGGGTTGCCAGGTGTCCAGTTTTGAACTGGACAGTCAAGTATTTGAGCTTTCTGTTCGAGAAAAATTGAGAAAATATAAATGTCTGGTATTTTCTAAATAAGATGTAATGTAGATTGTGATGTAATATCAAATGTATCCAGTATTTTTGTTGAAACCATTTGGCAACCCTACTGTAAGTTAAAGAAAATATAGAATCAAATGAAGTAAAAATCTTAAATGAGCCAAAATATTCCATAGAATCTCTATGAATAGTAATTCCATATTCCAATAATAAGAATATGGCAGTAGGAATATATTATCAATCACCTGATCAGGAGAGTGCTAGCGACTAGGAAATGCTAAGAGATTAGAGAGGCTATCAAATTAAAAAACTCGATCATAGTGGGGGATTTCAACTATCCCCGTATTGACTAGGTACACGTCACCTCAGGACAAGATGCAGAGATAAAATTTCTTGATACCTTAAATGACTGCTTCTTGGAGCAGTTGGTTCTGGAACCCACAAGGGGAAAGGCTATTCTTGATTTAGTCCTAAGTGGAGTGTAGGATCTGGTTCAAGAGGTAAATATAACTGGACTGCTTGAAAACAGTGACCATAATGTAATAAAATTTAACATCCCTATGGTGGGAAAAACACCTCAGGCAGCCCAACACTGTGGTATTTAATTTCAGAAAGGGGAGCCACACAAAAATGAGGCTGGTTAAACAAATTAAAAGGTACAGTGACAAAAGTAAAATCTCTGCGAGCTGCACAGAAACTTTTCAAAGACACCATAATAAAAACCCAACTTAAATGTATACCTCAAATTAAAAAACACAGTAAGAGAACCAAAAAGGTGCCATTGTGGCTTAAGAAACCACGTAAAAGCAGTTACAGATAAAAAAGTATCTTTTAAAAAGTGGAAGTCAAATCCTAATGATGAAAATAGAAAGGAGCATAAACTTTGTCAAATTAAGTGTAAGAATATAATAAGAAAAGCCAAAAAGGAGTTTGAAGAACAGCTAGGAGGCAGAGCAGCTGGGGTGCTGCCAGGTTGGTCCTGCAGTGCCAAGGGGCGTATCCTCCCCCAGACCTCTCATAGCCCCCCTTCCGATAGTCCGGCTCTGCCCCAAGCGTCCCTGATTCAGCCGCTGCTGAAACTGACCAGCAGCCGCTGAATCGGGGACGCCTGGGGCAGAGCCGGACTATCAGAGGGGGGACTACGAGGGGTTTAGGGTGGCATCCCCTCCCACCCACACCCGACCCCTCATAGCCCCGCCTTCCGATAGTCCGGCATATCTGATAATCCGGCACCCCCTGGGTCCTAAAGGTGCCAGATTACTGGAAGTTTACTGTAGTAAAATATTTAAGTACATCAGAAGCAGGAAGCCTGCTAAACAATCAATGGGGCCCTTGGACAATCAAGATGCTAAAGGAGCACTCAACGATGATAAAGTCATAGCGGAGAAGCTAAATTAATTCTTTGCTTCAGTCTTCATGGCTGAGGATACTGGGGAGATTCCCAAACCTGAGCTATTCTTTTTAGGTGACTAATCTGAGGAATTGTCCCAGTTTGAGGAGGTTTTGGAACAAATTGATAAATGTAACAGTAACAAGTCATCAGGACCAGATGGCATTCACCCAAGAGTTCTGAAAGAACTCAAATAGGAAATTGCAGAACTATTAACTGTGGTTTGTAACTTATCCTTTAAATCAGCATCCGTACTTAATGATTGGAAGATAGCTAATGTGATGCCAATATTTAAGAAGGGCTCTATAGGTGATCCTTACAATTACAGACTGGTAAGTCTAATGTCAGCAGCGGGCAAAATTAGCTGAAACTATAGTAAAGAATAAAATTGTCAGACACGTGGATGAATATCATTTGTTGGGGGAAGTCAACATGGTTTCTGTAAAGGGCAATCATGCCTTATTATTCTGGTAGAGTTCTTTGAGGGAGTCAAGGGGATATCCAGTGGGTATAGTATACTTAGTTTTCCAGAAAACCTTTGACATGGATTCTCACCAAAGGCTCTTAAGTAAAGTAAGTTGTCATGGGATAAGAGGGAAGGTCCTTTTGTGGATTGATAACTGGTTAAAAGACAGGAAACAAAGGGTAGGAATAAATGGTAAGTTTTCCAAGTGGAGAGAGGTAACTAGGGGGGTCCTCCATGGAACCGTCCTGAGACCAATTCTATTAAACTCATTTATAAATGTCCTTGAAACAGGGATAAACAGTGAGGTAGCAATATTTGCAGATGATGCCAAACTGCCCAAGATAGTTAAGACCAAAGAAGAGTGTGAAGAGCTTCCAAAAGATCACACCAAACCAAGTGATTGGGCAACAAAATGGCAAATGAAATGTAATGCTGATAAATGTAAAGTAATGCACATTGGAAAAAATAATCCCAACTATATATACACAATATGATGGAGACTAATTTGGCTACAGCTACTCATGAGAAAGATCTTGGAGTCATTGTGGCTAGTTCTCTGAAAACATCCACTCAGTGTGCAGCGGCAGTCAAAAAAGCAAATAGAATGTTAGGTGTCATTAAAAAATGGATAGAGAATAAGACAGAAAATCTTATTATATAAAACCATGGTATGCCCACATGTAGAATACTGCATACAGATGTGGTCGCCTCATCTCAAAAAAGATATCTTGGCATTGGAGACGGTTCAGAAGAGGGAAACAAAAATGATCAGGGGTTTGGAATGGGTCCCATATAGAGACTAAAAAGACTTGGACTTTCAGCTTAGAAAAGAGAAGACTAAGGGGGGATATAATAGAGGTCTATAAAGTCATGAATGGTATGGAAAAAGTGAGTAAGGAAAAGTTATTTACTTATTCCCACAATATAAGAACTAGGGGTCACCAAATGAAATTAATAGGCAGCAGGTTTAAATCAAATAAAAGGAAGTTTTTCTTCACTCAGCGCAGTCAACCTGTGGAACTCCTTGTCAGAGGATGCGGTGAAGGACAGAACTTTAACAGGATTCAAAAAAGAGCTAGATAAATTCATGGAGGTTAGGTCCATCAATGGCTATTAGCCAAAATGGGTAGGAATGGTGTCCCTAACCTCTGTTTCTTTGGAGGTGGGTGACAGGGGAGGGATTGTGTGATAATTACCTGTTGTGATCCCTCCCTCTGGGGCCTCTGGTATTGGCCACTGTCGGCAGACAGGATACTGGGCTAGATGGACCTTTGGTCTGACCCAGTATGGTTGTGCTTATGTTCTCAACCTGAAGTTAGGAAAATCATTTTACTTCTAAACTGCATACATGTGATACTATGAGAGTGTGAGCATGGCGAGTTATGATGCCACTTGTATGGCTGCTTTTCAGATTAAAATGAATTTCAATAATTGTTAACATTGAAAACTATGTAGAGGTGTCACTATACATCATAGAGATAATGGACTAAAGTTGTTTTCCCAACACATCACAGCCTAGTTGTGACTGGATAGGTGATCCTTACAATTACAGACTGGTAAGTCTAATGTCAGCAGCGGGCAAAATTAGCTGAAACTATAGTAAAGAATAAAATTGTCAGACACGTGGATGAATATCATTTGTTGGGGGAAGTCAACATGGTTTCTGTAAAGGGCAATCATGCCTTATTATTCTGGTAGAGTTCTTTGAGGGAGTCAAGGGGATATCCAGTGGGTATAGTATACTTAGTTTTCCAGAAAACCTTTGACATGGATTCTCACTAAAGGCTCTTAAGTAAAGTAAGTTGTCATGGGATAAGAGGGAAGGTCCTTTTGTGGATTGATAACTGGTTAAAAGACAGGAAACAAAGGGTAGGAATAAATGGTAAGTTTTCCAAGTGGAGAGAGGTAACTAGGGGGGTCCTCCATGGAACTGTCCTGAGACCAATTCTATTAAACTCATTTATAAATGTCCTTGAAACAGGGATAAACAGTGAGGTAGCAATATTTGCAGATGATGCCAAACTGCCCAAGATAGTTAAGACCAAAGAAGAGTGTGAAGAGCTTCCAAAAGATCACACCAAACCAAGTGATTGGGCAACAAAATGGCAAATGAAATGTAATGCTGATAAATGTAAAGTAATGCACATTGGAAAAAATAATCCCAACTATATATACACAATATGATGGAGACTAATTTGGCTACAGCTACTCATGAGAAAGATCTTGGAGTCATTATGGATAGTTCTCTGAAAACATCCACTCAGTGTGCAGCGGCAGTCAAAAAAGCAAATAGAATGTTAGGTGTCATTAAAAAATGGATAGAGAATAAGACAGAAAATCTTATTATATAAAACCATGGTATGCCCACATGTAGAATACTGCATACAGATGTGGTCGCCTCATCTCAAAAAAGATATCTTGGCATTGGAGACGGTTCAGAAGAGGGAAACAAAAATGATCAGGGGTTTGGAATGGGTCCCATATAGAGACTAAAAAGACTTGGACTTTCAGCTTAGAAAAGAGAAGACTAAGGGGGGATATAATAGAGGTCTATAAAGTCATGAATGGTGTGGAAAAAGGGAGTAAGGAAAAGTTATTTACTTATTCCCACAATATAAGAACTAGGGGTCACCAAATGAAATTAATAGGCAGCAGGTTTAAATCAAATAAAAGGAAGTTTTTCTTCACTCAGCGCAGTCAACCTGTGGAACTCCTTGTCAGAGGATGCAGTGAAGGACAGAACTTTAACAGGATTCAAAAAAGAGCTAGATAAATTCATGGAGGTTAGGTCCATCAATGGCTATTAGCCAAAATGGGTAGGAATGGTGTCCCTAACCTCTGTTTCTTTGGAGGTGGGTGACAGGGGAGGGATTGTGTGATAATTACCTGTTGTGATCCCTCCCTCTGGGGCCTCTGGTATTGGCCACTGTCGGCAGACAGGATACTGGGCTAGATGGACCTTTGGTCTGACCCAGTATGGTTGTGCTTATGTTCTCAACCTGAAGTTAGGAAAATCATTTTACTTCTAAACTGCATACATGTGATACTATGAGAGTGTGAGCATGGCGAGTTATGATGCCACTTGGATGGCTGCTTTTCAGATTAAAATGAATTTCAATAATTGTTAACATTGAAAACTATGTAGAGGTGTCACTATACATCATAGAGATAATGGACTAAAGTTGTTTTCCCAACACATCACAGCCTAGTTGTGACTGGAGCTTTTGCACTGATGCACTGCAACAATCTGCAACTTTCTATCTCGATATAAAAGCTTATCTTTATGCGGGTCCAACTGTTTATGAAATATGAAAAAAATAGTAAAAATGCATACTGACAGAAAGTACATCTAATACTGTATCCAACACCCATGTATGGCCAGATTCAAATTTACCTGCCTACCACATGTGCCTCAGCATCTCCCCTTCCCTCCCATATAAGGAATAGGAATCCCCCCCCACACACACACCAAATATGAACCCCAGGCCATTCCAAGCTACCTCCCATTTCTATTGTATGGGTTGTGCCAGTCTGTTCTACCACCATACTACTTGCTAGGCTGGGAGTGCCACTCTGTTGCATGCTGCACACACTGGATTCATCTGAAGAAGTGGATTGTGCTCATGATATCGTCTACATGTTTTATTAGTCTTTAAGGTGCTTCAAGACTATTTGTTGTTGTTTAAGTTTTTCCAGTTACAGACCAACTCGGCTACTCCTCTGAAGCTTCTGAACACTGGATATTGATTCTAATGGGGGGCTGTGGAATGTTCTGAAGCAATACAAAATTAATGTGCTCATTTTCCAACCCAGGAAATGAATCCCACCACTGCCTGATCTAAGGTTTTCCCTTGCACATGAAATTCAGAGACTTCTGCCAACATTAATATTTTTAGCAGATTTTGATTGAATCAGCTTGTATCGCAGGAGCTTCTATCCACAGGCATCAAACTCCTGCCTTAGTCAGAGAATATCAGTGTTAATCTTCCACCAAGGCTGCATGGAAGATAATACCCCTTTGACTATTAGCCAAATGGTTATTACATATTCAGAGCAATGTGATTTTTAAATTATGCCCTAGTTAAATATCAGCTAACCAGGGATTCTGCAGGGAGTAGCTGGGATTGATACTGACTTATCGTCCCTCGCCCATGGAATTTTAAAAAGTGAAAGCAAGTTAGCCTTTAATATTTTAGGTACAAACTGTTGCCTTCCCAGGAAACTCGGATGCCAAGTCACCTTTAAAATCCTCTCTTGGCATGCGCTGTTGATACCCATGACTTACAATGAATGAGGTTCTTAAATGATGGAGAGTTCTGTGAGGGTCAGAGCATCACAGCAGAGAAACGTTTTTCCAAGCATGTTGGAACCTGCATTTACCTATATATTTAAAAAGTTTCTAAATAACTATTGTAAATAAATTTCATCTTGAAGTTGTGATGAGAGTTTACTGCTTGTCTGGTTTTAAAGTGTCCCAAAAGAACTTCTCTGCAGCTGCTTAGATCACTGCTTCTTTTTACCAGAAAGCCTAGTCTAGTAAAACTGAGCATGGAAGTAGAATGCATGAATTCTAATCTCAGCTCTGCCACTGTCTTGCTGCAAGGTGTTGGGCAAGTCACTACCCTCCTTGTCTCAGTCTGTAAAATAGGGCTGATATTCTCCCTCACTAGGATATTTTAAGGACTAGTACAGTGGTCTGAACATGTAAAATGCTAAGTATTACTCTGCTTATCCTGGATATATTCAGCTGAAGAGAACATCCTCCAGACAGCATCCAATTTCTCTCTCAAATTCTTACCAATGGGATCATATTTTAGCAGGACCAATTTCTCCTGTAGTCGAGCTTTCTTGATGTTGTAACTGTAGCCCGTCCCTGCTGCACTCACCATCCTCACAAGGACATACCTAAAATGACAAAGGACATCCTTATGGCCAACAGTAGATATATATAGTGGTTGTTCACACTGGTTTTAGTGTCTCCACTACAGAAATTCATCTTTGGCATGTGTAGTTAAGTGAACTGAAACATTTAATGTCACCATTGGTGCTCATTATGGACATTTTAGTGTCAATAAAATACTAAAGTTAGTGGAATTATTAACTGGATTTGACTGTAAGTGGTGATAAGCAACTGCAACTTCAACAGATGTTGCAAATGCTCAATAGTCTAAGCAATACTGTAGCTCAGCAGACCAAGTTTTGGGAGCAGACCTTGGCCTTTCTTCCCAGCCAGCTATTATTTCATACAAAAAAAGTGTAAGAGGCTGTGAAAACAATTTGAAATATTCCAGCTAACGCTTCTTGGAAATCTTTTGCCTGAACAGTTTTCTGTTGGAAAAAGGTTTCATTTCAACACAACCAGTATTTTTTAATGAAATCGTATCAATAAAATTACTTTAAAAATTCAATTTTTTTTCATTTCCAAAAATTTCATTTTGAAATTTCAATTTAAAACTAAATTTAGACAAATTCCAAATTTTGGCCAGCTGTAATTAAAACCCCCTACCCAGCAAGTCCATGAATAGCAAGGAACTCCATCTGCAAATGGCAATGGGAGGGGCACAAGCAGAGAATCTATTCATCTGAAAGAGGGAAGAGGTTCAGGGAAAAAGCAGTAGCACTTGGGAGCGAGGGGGATTCTATGGGCCAAGAGGTGGGAGTTCTGAAAACCATCCCACCAAAATGATACTTTCAGAGAGGCAGAGTCTGTAGCAGGGCTGTACATTTCAGCATCAGGTAACTTGCTACTGAATGGAACATAGAACATGGCCAAGATAAGTAGCTTCTACACTAAAATAAGACAAAAAGGAAAAGATCCACATACAAGTGACTCTATGCAGCTTGTTTTTAGAAAGCGAATGGAGGATGATCATATTTAAAGGCATCCAGGTTACATCCAATATAGTCTCTCAGAATATAGAACCCAACCGTCTCTTCCCCTAACACTGGGACCTAAAGCAAATGGAGTGAGGGGCATACAAAAAGGGTTACCAGAGCTCCTCAGCATATTCAGCCCTTCCTCTGGTACACCCCAGGAACAGGTCAAGAGGGGGCAAAATTGGTGAGATGGTAACTGTCCATAGCAGCCTTTAGAAACTCCATTAGAATTAGATCCTCACCACACACACATTCTACAAGAAAATAGAGCTCTAGAATTTACTCAAGTAATTCTTCCAGGACATGTCCATTGATATGCACCATGACAGATCCTGCCCACCCAAAAAGAGTCATCCACTCCCAATATTACCTCCATGGCCGAACTGAATGCTGAGGAATGCCTTAAGGGCCGTAAATAACTAGTTGGCATAGGCTTATCAGGTAATCAAGTGACTACTCAACTAATCGCTTCCCTCCACTCCCCACTTCTGTAGCAGAGGCAGCAAGAAGGGTGGGAGGGAAGCAGGAACCAGTGCTAGAGGGGAACAGCTTAAAAGCTGGTTTCTCCCAGCACCATCTCCATGGTGTGGCGAAGGGAGGGGACCAGGGGAGGCAGAGCCGCAGCAGTCCCAGAGCTGGCACAATACAGGACTACTCAGTCCTGGCTTGTACAGGGCCTGGAAGCTAACCTTGCTGTGGTTCTGTACTTTAAATGTAGTAAGAACCCAGTAGGTTCCATCGACTATTTGATTAGCAAACTAAACATTTCTTAACATCCCTACTGCAGCCCTCCCTTCCAGAGCATGGGGGGAAAGAGCTACATGCTGAAGAACCACAAATATTTAGTGCACATATATATTTGTGTGTCACTCTAGAATGCAACTATGGGAAGCTGATCATTTGCAGTAGCACAAGTAAAATGTCACTTACTTAGATTTGGCCTTGGCCACTGTTTTTGGAGCACAATGATGAGAGGAAGAAAAAAGAAAAATTATGTTAGCATCTTGTTTTCTTTTAAATATTAACATATAAATATTATTAAAGCTTTGCACAAAAGCTGCTTAAAAATAACGTGTGCAGTACCTAGCCCAATAGACCTGGTCTGCGTGTACTTTCTAAGCAATACTGCAATATAAGTAGAAGTACAGCAAAATCCAATTTATGTTCTGTCTGCACAATCAAAGCTCTTGTTTAAGCCCCTAGAAGTTCCAAGTACTCCCACTTCAGGTTTATTCAAAATACTGCTAAGATCAAATCCCTAGTTCCTATATCACTTCAGAATACCTCCACAGGCTTCTTGCTTTCCATCCATAAAAGCTCAAGCATCTTGCACTCACAGTTAATGCCCTTCTCAGCTCTGCCTCTTATCTATTTCTTAACATTAATTTATTAAACTTTTTCGAGCACTCTAGCAACAATACCAGCCTTAAACAATCATTTATCCACTTCTCCCACAAATACGGGCATTTTGCCCATCACAGAGAATGCCTTTCCTAAACCGAAAGGCAAACCCACTACCCTTGTCTTTATATCACTCTGCTGGAACCCCTACAAAAAAAAAAATCAGACAATTTATGATGGGTTGATGAATTTGCAGGATCCCTGCCAGCAGTACTCTCTGTAAGCTGTGCACTTGTGTGGCTGCTGAGGAGAAATTACAATGCCATCAAGCTGATCAGGAGATCACTCACAGCTAGGTTTAGTTACTGTTTCTATTGGTGGTGTACATTATTTATCAAATCAAAACATTATTTATCAATTTACTGATCCTTGTTTTAGAAAGAGAAGGTAAAAGACCAGCCAAGTTACTCAAGTAGATATCTTAAAATTCACCTGCATCCTCCCCTTTCTTTTTGTACTACATTCAGTACAGTCTCCCAACTGCCCCACTCTGCAATGGCAAGTAGGAATCTAAGGAAGTAGTTGAGTTGACTACTCACATTGCCCCCCTGGCTGCCTCTCTATCAGAGACAGAAGGGAGGAGAGCACAAGTCCATGCTGGAGGAAGCCAGCTTAAAAGCCAATCCCACTGAACAGCATCTCCACATTGCTACCTGTCCCTCTGGCTTATTGCTCTCTCTATGAGAGGCAGCCGGGGGGGTGTCTGCCAGGAGATTAAGGGGAGGGGGGAACCTCAGCAGGGAGTTGGGACTAAGGCTGTTGAAATGCAGTTAATTGGCTAGTCAATGGAATTTCCATCGACTAGACGATAGGCACTTCTGCATTCCTCCTTTGTAATGTACAGGAGCCCCTACTGGGGCTCCTGTACATTACAAAGGAGGAATGCGGAACTCTGGGTACTGCCTGGGCCAGTGGGAAGTCCTGCTGACCCAGGACTCCATGCTATGCTGCATGCTGCTAGGAACCCGGGCTCAGGTGGGGAGTCCCCAGCTAGTCCCGGGCTCCAGGGCTGCCTCTTTTTGAAATACGGAGGCAGCATTTTAAAGGGGCCACCACCGCACAGCTGATCCGCAAATCAGCTGTGCAGCGGTTGTCCCTATGAAACACTGCCTTGGGGTTTCAAAGCAGCAGCGTCGCACAATTGTGCAGTGCTGCCACTTTGAAGTAGCCCTTTCTCCACCCCCTTCCCTTTGCTACCTCTGTCTCACAGAGATAATAAACGGGGGAATATCAACTAGTTAAAAGACTATTTGATAAGCAGTTAACATCCCTAGTTAGGGCCCCTCACAGACAGGAGCTGCTTTGTGGCAGAAGCCCCTGTGCACGCGGGAGAAATCCCAACTCCATGCTGGACCCCGGTGAATAGGGGCTGCTGCTGCCAGCTGGGCAGGCAGCTGGGATGAGTCCCAGGTCGTTCTGTGAGTGGGACCAAACCCCACTGTGGCTCTGCAATGTAAAAGGCAATAGGAGCCAGGAAGTCTGCTCCCTGGTTCCTATTGCTTTTTCCATTGCAGAGCTGCAGCAGGGTTTGGGGTGCGAGTTGGGACTGAGCGGGCTGCCTGTGAACTAAACGATTAGTTGATAAAAATTCAATTGACGACTCGATTAGTTAAATTCCGGCCTCTTAACATCCCTAATGGCAGTCTGGGCGCTGCTGCAGCAGGCAGGGCGCTGGACTAGGTCCCCACTCCTCTGTCCGCCTGTGTGGGGTGCATGCGCCGACTGGCCCCACGGGCTCAGTGTGACGGGGTCGCTGGGGGGTTGCCCGGGAGCCCGCAGGGATCAGGCCAGGGGACGGGGCAGGGAAGCACCGCAGAATCCCGACCCAGAGCCCTGCACCCCACGGGCGGGGGAGGGGCGCAGCCGGGCAGCACAGAACCTCGCGCCACGGCGGGGCCCAGCTAACTCAGGGCCACGTGGTTCCGGGCGCGCTGCCCGCCGGGAGATGTAGTGCCGGAGCCAGGAGCACTGCCCCGGCGTAAGCCCAAGCGCGTTCTGACACCGTTAGGCCCAACCTCCTCCCGCCGCCCCCCCTGCACCCCACGGGCGGGGGAGGGGCGCAGCCGGGCAGCACAGAACCTCGCGCCACGGCGGGGCCCAGCTAACTCAGGGCCACGTGGTTCCGGGCGCGCTGCCCGCCGGGAGATGTAGTGCCGGAGCCAGGAGCACTGCCCCGGCGTAAGCCCAAGCGCGTTCTGACACCGTTAGGCCCAACCTCCTCCCGCCGCCCCCGCCAGCACCCACGGGCGGGGGAGGGGCGCAGCCGGGCAGCACAGAACCTCGCGCCACGGCGGGGCCCAGCTAACTCAGGGCCACGTGGTTCCGGGCGCGCTGCCCGCCGGGAGATGTAGTGCCGGAGCCAGGAGCACTGCCCCGGCGTAAGCCCAAGCGCGTTCTGACACCGTTAGGCCCAACCTCCTCCCGCCGCCCCCGCCAGCAGCAGCTCTGTCTGAGCGCGCCCACGTGTGCTCGTGTGGCGCTGTTTGGAACCCTCGTTCCCCCGCTCCACCCCTGTGCGCGAGCTGGGGCTGCCCGGGCTTTGCTCGGCGCTGTACGGGCCCCTCCCAGGCTCGGGCAGTAGGGAGCCAGAGGGCGGAGCAAAGGGCCGCTCTCCTTGGCGGGCCAGGAGCCGGGCTTTCCGGAGAAGCCGCACATTAAGTTCATTTGCATAATATTAATAGATTTTTTTTTAAAGCCTAGTATGGGGCATTTGGTAGCCCAGGCTGACCTGTGTGTAACAGCCAGAGGAGCCGGCCTGTTAACCAGTGTTCCCGGGAAGCTGGGTACTTGTGCAAAGGCTCAGGAGAGATTCAAATGCTGCCCAACAAGAGAGCTGAGCTAGGTTTTTTGTTTCTGTTGGTGGTGCACATTCACACATGCTTTAGTGCACATAAAACTTTATTCTGCACGTGGAGGGAAAAGATTAGTGGGAACACTGCTGCTAACTCTGTCATCAAGCCTGTCAGTCAATTCAGACCTGGAATTGCCACAGGGGCTGAGTTAGACAGGCCATGGGTTCTGTTCCCTGTGCATACTCCTCCTTGCTTCAGCCACCACTCTCAAATCACTGTTCATTCCCATACAGGGCTGCCAATCCTTGCAGTACTTTTTTTCTAAAAGCTGCAACTGCTGGGCTGCGTCTAGACTGGCATGATTTTCCGCCAATGCTTTTAACGGAAAACTTTTCCGTTAAAAGCATTTGCGGAAAAGAGCGTCTAGATTGGCACGGACACTTTCCCGCAAAAGCCCCTTTTGCGAAAAAGCGTCCGTGCTAATCTAGACACGCTTTTGCGGAAAAACTTGCCAGCTGTCTACACTGGTCCTTTTGCGCAAAAGGACTTTTGCCCACACGGGAGCAGCATGGTATTTCTGCAAGAAGCACTGATTTACATGAGATCGTCAGTGTTCTTGCGGCAATTCAAGCGGCCAGTGTAGACAGCTGGCAAGTTTTTCCGCAAAAGCGTGTCTAGATTAGCACGGACGCTTTTCCGCAAAAGGTGCTTTTGCGGAAAAACTTGCCAGTCTAGACGCAGCCAAGCAGTAGAGACTCATGCTTTCAACTCTGCATGTCTCCAGTGTCAGCCTCCACATAAATGGGGATTCAGTCAGAATTCATAGTGCTGTGGGAATTGGGACTCGGATACTTGGAACACACTCCCTCTGTCAAGGCACTGGCTGCATGAGTCCTCTGGGCAAAGGAAGCCCACACTTGTTTGAAGCCCAGACCAAACCTCAATTTACATGACAGCTGCCATTGTAGCTGATGCCAGAGATTGAACTAGGGACCTTCCTGGGCCAAGGCCTTACAACTGAAGCTAAAGAGCAGAAACCTGTAACTGATCAGTTTCTGTAGCTTAGGCACAGAATGGGACACATAACAGCAACTATTGGTTACCCTATCATCACAATTGTCAATGCTTTGTGTACTGCCTGGTTGTCTAGTGTTACGTTATAGGATTCCTATTTCTTGAATCTTCAGGGGGTAGCCGAGTTAGTACAGGATAAACTTAAAAAACAACAAATGGTCTGGTAGCAATTTATAGAATAACAAAACATGTAGATGGTATCATGAGCTTTTGTGGGCACAGCACACTTCTTCAAATGAAGAACTCCAATTATCTGAAGAAGTGTGCTGTGCCCACAAAAGCTCATGATACCATCTACATGTTTTGTTATTCTATAAATTGCTACCAGACCATTTGTTGTTTTTAAAGTTTATTTCTTGAACGTTTGTCAGCTGCCTACCAAGTTCAGATAGGCACTTCTTCTTATTTTAAAAAGGGTAGATAAAAGGCATATTTTGCTGGCTATCACTCAATAAATGAAATAGTGAATTTTGTGTAGAAATTGATCTTCCTTCTGGCCTGTAGAGACTTCAGGGTCAGAGTTAAGGGGACCTGAGATGTAGTAATACAGCTGCTCCCTGAGTTACGACCACCTCCACTTACAACCACCTGCACTTACGACCAAAGTGGTTGTAAATGCGGGTCCAAGTTATGAACGGCGATCCGCACTTACGAACAGCGCGGTCGCCATGTAACTCTATGGGATCCGAGTTACGAACACTTTGAGTTACGGACCAAGCGGTGGTTCGTAACTTGTTCGTAACTCGGGGAGCGGCTGTATCTCAGCTCCATTTAAG